GCCGAGGCGTAGCTGGCAAGCGGCAGAGACGGAGCAGGCCGACCACCAGCTGGCCCAGCTCAAGGGAGGTAAGGCACCCGCCGGAAAAGGGGAAAAAAATGGCGGACAAAAAAAATGGCGGACAGCCTTGCTTGGCGACCCCCATGAAATGGTCGATCGACCCCAAATGGGGTCCCGACCCACAGGTTGAGAACCACTGATCTAGATGTTAAAGAGGAACGGAGAAAGCATCCATCCTATGGCATCCCATAGGGTTGGGCTGAGGGCAGGACCTCTCTGTCTTGGATGCTGAAATTGGCTGTGAAGAAGCACTAACACAATACAGTTCTGCTGAGTCACCACCCTTGCAGCCAGTCCAGAAGAAGACCATGGTTGATGGTTATCGAAGCCCATCATGAGATCAAGTTGAGCAAGTCTGCTTAATATTAATTTTGCCTTTGTGGAAAGTAGGAACCCTCCTCATTAACAACTCCGGAATCCCCAAAATATATTTCTGAAGATCGAGAGCTACAGGTAATAATGAATGGGGCAAAATACGTTTTGATGGGGCTAAACGATCCAGCCTTTTTAAACTTTTTATACATTTATTGCTGTGCCACACCATACATTTTCCACAAGAACAACAGGTTAAAAATGGAATCGCTTGCAGCCCATTTAGACATTCCAGTAGACATATGCTAAGATCTGCTGATTATTGGCAATTTTCTTTATTGGAAGTGAAGGGAACAAATTAATTGGTGAAATACAGATGGAAAAAAAGACACGCGATGGACGCCCTATTCAAATTATCAGTGCAAATTATGCCGCAGTGGAATTCGTCTCAATATATACGAAACGCTGGCAAAGTTTCAGTACCAATTCTTGCAAGTCACCCCTTTTAGTTTAAGAAAATTCACAATTTCCTGATATCTGTTATAAGAAACATTCAGGGCGAGGTTGAAAAAGGAAAGACAAAGCTTCAGCTGTGTAGTCAAAGCCTTGCCCACATTTTACCATTTTGACTTTTTTGCCCATCCCACGGATAATTCTGTAAACATTATTTCCAGGGAAGTTCCTTCTTAAAAGTTTTATTGCTATTCAGAACTCTCTATGCCAGGGGTCTTCAAACTTGGCCCTTTTATGACTTGTGGACTTCAACTCCCAGAATTCCTCAGCCAGCGTGCCTGGCTGAGGAATTCTGGGAGTTGAAGTCCACAAGTCATAAAAGGGCCAAGATGGAAGACCCCTGCTCTATGTACTCCCTTGGGGTTTGAAGTTTCAGCTTTTTAAACTTTGTTAAAATACAACATTCAGCTGCCCTTTCTGGTATCTAGTACAGCTGATAGTAGCAGTGGAGGCTGGGAGTTGTAGTTAGCAGCTTCTGAAAAATCATCAGCAAACAGATGTTACGTTACTGGATTAAAACAAGATTTAAAAAGTGAAGCTTGTAAAACACAGCCTATCTTGGTTTATTAAAATCACAAGGGTCTCCTTTCAACCACTTGGGCACAAATCTTAATTTTGCTAAGGTAAAATCTAATAGTCACACACGTGTGCTGTTAATCCAGCATTAAAGCAAGGAGGATTTTTCAGAACATCCCATTTCCATGATGGGATGATGAAGCCTTAACTCAGGGGTCTTCAAACTTATCCCTTTTATGACTTGTGGACTTCAACGCCCAGAATTCCTCAGCCAGCCACGCTAGCTGAGGAATTCTGGGTATTGAAGTCCACAAGTCATAAAAGGGCCAAGTTTGAAGACCCCTGCACTAACTTTTAGATCAGGGTTGTCCAACCTTGACAACTTTAAGACCTGTGGACTTCAACTCTCAAAATTCCCCAGCCAGCTATTTAATTCTGGACGCTGAAGTCCACAAGTCTTAAAATGGCTAAGGCTGTACACACCCAGTTTAGACAAAGACCTAGCTGGAGAAGTATCCTCACAGACCCAACTCAATCTCAGAAAACAGAATTCAATATTTTTCAGTCTCATCTCGAACTGCCAAAACCTTAGAGAACGTTCCAAAGAAATGGACTTCGCGGTTCCTTTCTAAATACGCCGTAGGATCTCCGAGAACACATTCCCTTCCCAAATCCAGCGAAGGGTGAGGATTAGACACATCCGTTACTGGTTGCTTTGACATAAAACATAAAAGTTACTCGGATCAGACTGTCTTTTTTTTAAAGAGGGAAAATAGCTGTGTGACGATGCTTTCAAAGAAGGCAGCTCCGACGTTTTCCAGATGGGAAATTCAATAGCCAAATGCAGGAATCCGCCATTATTTCATGCTGTTCAGAAACTGGGCGTGCTCTTCTCCTCTTGGCAAAAGAGTTTCTGCCCCAATTTTGGGACCTTTCTTCTCCTGGAAAAGGAAATGTCCCATTAGCTGTGATTGCTGCCCATCTAAAATAAGCGTCAACCCATCACAATCCTTCCCATCAAAGTAAGCTTCAATCCATCAGGCCAGACATGTCAAACACAAGGCCCGGGGGCCGGATGCGGCCCGCAAAGTGGTTTCATGTGGCCTGCGAAGCCATCCTGGAAACAGTGAGGGAACGGCCCCCGCTGCCTTGGTCCTGGTCCAGGCTGGCCGGGAGCCAATGTACAATTTTGTGGTGGCCATCTATGCTGAAAGGCATTCAGTCTTAGCTCCACAAGGCCATCTAGAAACAGCGAGGAACCAGCCCCTGCCGTGTCGCCCCTGTCCCCTGGGTGCATGCTGGGGAGGTGTCACCCTTTGTGAGGAATGAAGAAATGGACCATGCCATGGCGCTTGCCCTGGTCCCACCCCCTTCTGCCAGAGACCCTCAGATCTGTCCCACTCCTGCCCAGGCCCCCACAGGCACCCTTGACGCGAATGATGTAGAACTGGCCACGCCTACCCAGTAGGCCACATCCACACCCACCCAGTAGGGCACACCCACTCCATCCACGCCCACCCAGTAGGCTGCACCCACTCTGGCCACACCCACCCGGCCCTCCAAGGGCAACCGCAATGCTGATGCAGCCCTCAATGAAATTGAGTTTGACACCCCTGCATCAGGCCACGATTAACTGTAGATACAGTGATGCAGGTATCACAGGTCCTCTCAGGAGAAGCTGGCTTCTAACAATAATCCCACCCAAAATGCAATTCCAATTTTTTCCCCCCATCAAATCTCCCTGACGTTACTTCCTTGGAATTTTCAGCCCATACTGTAAACTTCAGATTTTATTGTTTGGATTTTTCTGAGAGCAAAAAATAATTTGCAGGGTAAAAGTCTTCCTGTAGAAGAGCATATTTCTAGCTCAGAGCTGAACTGTGGGATCCTTGGTGCTCTCTGAGCTTGGTGGTTTTCTTGCAGACGTTTCATTACCAAACTAGGTAACATCATCAGTGTTAGAAGGTATTGGAGGGGGGAGAGGAGGAGGGCAGTGGGGTCCCTGGTGCTCTCTGAGCTTCGTGTTTTTCTTGCAGACCTTTCACTACCTAACTAGGTAACATCATCAGTGATAGAAGGGAGAGGCGTGTGTGATGAGGATGATTGGGGAGGGGCTTGGTACTGTCTGAGCTTGATGGTTTTCTTGCAGACATTTCATTATCAAACTAGGTAACATTATCAGTGCTAGAAAAGACTGGGAGAGGAGAAGGAAGAGGAGGAGGAGGATAACAACAACTGGGGGATCCTTGATGCTCTCTGAAGTTGGTGGTTTTCTTGCAGACGTTTCATTACCCAACTAAGTAACATCATCAGTGCTAGAAAGGACCAAACCTCACCCGTTGTACCACTGATGATGTTACCTAGTTTGGTACTGAAACGTCTGCAAGAAAACCACCAAGCTCAGAGAGAGTACCAAGGACCCCACAAACGACTTCCTTCCTAATCCAATTTTGGTAGCAAGCTTTTAGTTGAGTCTTACCTTGAGCATTCCATCACGTTCCCATTTAAAGAGGCCACAATTACTGAAATAGGAAGGCAGAGAAATCAAGATTCATTTAGGGTCTTAATATTAGGACGAAACCAAGTTTGTTCATAGAAAGTCTGGTGCTGAAAATGATGTCCTGATCCCCCCACCCATTGTGCTTAGTTTAAGAGCCTGGCCAAGATGCACCCCAATCTTCCATCAAGGATAACCTCTTCCTTGATGGAAAAATATTCCGTCAAGAATAAGCTGTTTTGCAAAGGTTGCAAACAAAGAACGGCCCCGTCACCTACCTGCAGTGTTTTTTGGGCAGCTTATCAAGAGAAATGGCTCTGTTCCCACAGGGACACTTGAAAAATCTCTTCACCCCATTGTGATAGCGGTAATCGTGACGTTCCGCCACGCACGAATCCAGCAGTTTGAAATAGGTATAGTTGCACTTCCGGGTGAAAAGAGAAAAAGAGAGACAGGCTTTCAAAAAAATATGTATATATATGCATATGGTAATTGTGGCAAGATTATTGCATGCACAAAGTTAGAATAAAGAAATACCTACGATAGAGATTGGATTAGAAAATTGATGGGGGTTGCAGAAATAGCAAAGCTGACCAGTTTGTTCAGGGAAAAAATAATAAAGACTTTTCTAGAAGACTGGAACCCTTCTAGAGACTTTTGGATGAAAAAAAAGAGAAAAGACTGATAATTTATGAGTCTGAGGGTTAACAAGGGTCAAAGAAGAAGAGGAAAGAATAAAAGGATAATTAATAGAAGAAAAGTGGAAGTCATAATCCTCTCTCCCTCCTTCCTTTTTTTTCCTTCCTTCCTTCCTTCCTTCCTTCCTTCCTTCCTTCCTTCCTTCCTTCCCTCCCTCCTTCTTTCCTTTCCTTTTCTTTCCTTTTCCACTTGGCTTACCGTTTTGCATGTTGCCACACGACATTTTACTTCTCGGATGTTCCTCATCTTCTCTTCCATTTGTTCTTTTTTCACCAAGGGCTCAAAATACCGTTCCTGCATCTCAGCCTCAAACTGTGATATGGCAGTGAGAAAGAGAGATTAACCTAGAGATTAAAGTTTTAATCTTGTCGTATAAAATAACTGGTATAAATAACATGAGTTATGCCAAAGACAATCTTCCTTCCTCCCCTCCCCTTCTTCCCCATTTCACTGATGCTGTGTAGGGCACAAAAATTAACACAACACAACATCTAAACCATGACACAATTAAAACAGGAAACTCCCCAAACAAAATGCCACATCACCAGCATCAGACTTCACCTAACATGCTAGCTCAAATGCCTTAGGGCAGGGGTAGGCAACCTTGGCTCTTTTATGACTCGTGGACTTCAACTCCCAGAATTCCTGAGCCAGCCACGCTGATGGGAAAGGGAGAGGTTTCCAAGCTGAGTCATGCTGGCTCAGGAATTCTGGGAGTTGAAGTTCGCAAGTCATGAAGGAGCCATAGTTCCCCCATGCTGGCTCAGGAATTCTGGGAGTTGAAGTCCACAAGTCATGAAGGGGCCATAGTTCCCCCATGCTGGCTGAGGAATTCTGGGAGCTGAAGTTCGCAAGTCATGAAGGGGCCATAGTTCCCCCATGCTGGCTGAGGAATTCTGGGAGCTGAAGT